TATTCTATTCTATTCTATTCTATTCTATTCTATTCTATTCTATTCTATTCTATGTTGTTAAATTAGGTCAGGAAATTCTGTTTATAATGACAGATTATAAAAAAACAGTGATTACAAGGTGAATTTCTTGATTATGTCATGTAACAAAGACGGTACATAACTCATAATTCTATAATAAGTGTTCATAGAGTAAACTAACCTGGTTAAACGTTTGTTTTGAGCTTCAGCTGTTCCTAGAATCTTTGTATGTCTTATTAGTGCGGTGTTTTTCTCCTCAAAATGTTTTGTGAATATCAATTACAATCCAGGGACATACACTTACAGCATCATATTACTGTTTATTTTTTTTGTAAAATGAGAATGGTTGATAGATAAGAATAATTATGGTGTAAAAGTTCAGATAATACTTAAAACGAAAGCACTTCGTGGTGGTTAAACTTGAGTAAAGTGTTCACAAACTTACATATTTTTCAAAATGGCGGACATGTCATTGGACGAAGTGATCGCTCGTCGGAAAATTCAAGGTTCTGGAAGTCGGGGAAGGTAGGTAGTTAGTATTTGGATGCATTCATTACGTAGGGTATTATGTTTTCGTTCTAGCAGGTTGATCAGTTTAAATTGTTTTGCATTTTTTCCAGAGAACGTCCAGATTGTTTGACCGCGCTGTAAACTAACTTTAATGTGACTGACGCGCAACACTCAATCATTCACCGTGTGGCCACTGTACAACTCCGCATGGATAATTCATTTACAATTCTCCACGATTCATGACTAAATTCAAATCCACGATTGGTAGTATTGAACGATGGTGAAGTATGTAGTTTGGATGTAGTATGTTACGTTTGTAAAATAAAGTTTTTATTGTTGACAATGGCCGTGCATATGTGTTTTTATGTAAATTACATCTCTACTACTGTACTCTACTAGTACTACTGTGTTTGTCATTAGCGCCATGGTTTTCGTGAAATTTAATGTTCATGTTATTTTACACATAACCATGTTTTTCATGGTATATCATCAAACAAGCACGACATCCAAATTAGTAACAAACAACTAAGAACATTATTTTTGTGTGGCAACTCTTACGTTTTGTAACATTTGATATGCTAATTTTGTTACGTAACTCTTTGGTAACAAGAGAAGTCGGCCAGCAGGAGAAGTCGGCCAACAAAATAACGGAGAAGTCGGTCAGTGATGTATGCCAGCAAGCATCACACCGACCCGATTAACATCTATTGTCCAAGGTGTTAACTGCCGATATTTTTAATCATACCGACAAATTGCGTTTCTTTTATTATAAAAACACCTACAAAGATTACACTGCTATTGAAGGTGTACAAAGGCCACGGATAATCGGACTATGCTTCGTATTTATTAACCACGGGGAAATCCATTTTTTTTATTTGATTGACTGATCGGTCTTCAAGGTACAGAATACATTTTTTTTCAGCGCCGTTTACTTTAGTTTATCATTGCAACTCGATTACCTTTATGTTATGTACTTTTCATGTTTTAAAATAAACTTAAATGCTGACTAATAAATTTCTCTAGTGTTTTTTTTTTTTCAGCGCCGTTTACTTTCGTTTATCATAGCAACTCGATTACCTTTATGTTATGTACTTTTCAAGTTTTAAAATAAACTTAAATGCTGACTAATAAATTTCTCTAGTGTTTTTTTTTCAGCGCCGTTTACTTTCGTTTATCATCGCAACTCGG